GGTACCACATTCAAAGACTCAAACTATATCAAATGAATGCTGAAAGTTGGATATTAAAGCCAAAAGTAGCAGAAATGAACTACAGGATTTACACCTAACAGGCACTTGGTTTTAAACAGTTTGAAGGGGAGACCTTTGTACCATTCTCATGATGAAATAGCAGCAAAAAAAAAAAACCTTGACACAAACATGCAGGTTACAAAAATGCAACTATCAATGCAGACTGAAATATAGAAAACAATTATTTTATTTTCTTGACCCAAGAATTTTGTTTGCAGTGTTGCTATTCTGAAATACCTGGCAACAAAGTATGATGTCCCTCAATTCTGGTACCCTCTAGACTCAATGAAAAGGGCAAAAGTGGATGAGTACATGGCATGGCAGCATACTAACGTGAGATATCACGCAGCTAAAGTCTTCATCCTGGAGGTAGGGATTAAAGAACTTTTCCGGTCAATGTAATTTTAGCCTACAGTATGTGTCTGAGGGCAAAGAACATGTGTTTTTAGGTTGTGGGTATACTTTCACCATGTGGACTGCAGCAATTCAAGAAAGCAACTTAGCACCACCTTAATAGGTGGACTCACTAAAAGGCAGACATAACTTCAGTCATATTTAATTCATTGCACCTTTTGAAGTATCCCACATCTTATTCTGATCAAAATAACTTGCACCCAGCTTTTCACCAATCTGGTGCTTTAGGCTGAAGATGTAAGTGACACACACCTTCACCCTTAATTTTCTGTCCTCTTCCTTGATTGACAAGCCATCTTAATAATAAAGGATCTATAGGGGAGGAGGGGGGTAATATTCAATAAATATATTGATTCAGTTCAAGAGAAAGCAGAATCCTCTGAAAAAGGTAGTAGGAAGCTAATTGTGTAATTTTGAAAGGGATTTGTGCAGGTGCCTGCAGATCAGGAACTTAGTTCCATCTCTTCTATCGTCCATTCCCTAAATGTGACTGCTGTTTGAAAGAACCAGCATGGGCAGTTCGGCTTCCTTTTGTGTTGAAGGTTCAAGTCATGTGACTGGGTAACTAGTAGAATGTTTAAACATCACTGATTTACAATATCTTCATGCAGGTTTTGGTTCCTCGGATGACAGGCCAGCCAACTGATGAGACGAAGCTGAACAAAGCTCTGGCTGAATTGAATGGAACCTTGAACATTTTAGAATCAATGTTTCTGAAGGACCAGACCTTCCTCTGTGGTGACGAGATTACATTAGCTGATCTATTGGCCATCTGTGAATTAATGCAGGTGAGGTTCAAGTGCATGGTTCAAACTGTCCTCATCTATTTGGATGACTTTGATATAAACCATAGCAAAACATGCATGAGGGAGAAATGGATAAAGTGGTCCAAAGATGAAAAGTAAATTTCCAACTATCTTCCACTGTACTAGCATTTTAAGTAGTGGAAGTACACTTTGTTAACTTTGTCTCCTCTTAGCATTTTAAGAGACAGAGTCCATCCATTGTGCCCATAATTTGTCATCACAAGAAAACTTGAACTATTATGCTGCACGTTGAAAATATTCTGGGTACATGAAAAGGAAAATGAAAACTAAAATAATTAGAGATATCCAAGGTCTATTCATCCATTTGTTCCTATGATAATCTGAATTTAGGTTTGACCAGCCTGCAGCATACCTTGCAGAAGTGACTGCAGCTGAAAGCATTAATTCCATTTTATTTACCCTTTAACCTTGCATTAAGCAGAGGTCATCCACTTACAGCTGGGTGTAAAAATCAAACCTAGGTTCTATTGCTAGCACTGTGGCATGTTGTCAACCATCATAGTGCTGCTGTGCACTAGTTCTTAGATTCTTTTAATAACTGCACGCTATAAAAATTCGGCTTGTTGACTGGAAAGTGTTAATGTAAAGTAATAAAGTTAAGCTGACCTAAACTGGATCAGCTCTTTGTAAATATAACTGAATCCAATCGATGATTTAGTTATTGCTTCAAGCATTTACACAGTAATGCAGGTGGAAAAAGAAATCACGTCTTGCTACTCTCGTACTAAAATGACTGAAAATGTAACACTGAATAATTTAAGTCTTTTGTTTTGTTTTTATGAAATATTCAGCCACTTGGAGCAAATCGTGACATACTGAAAGATCGTCCAAAATTGATCAGCTGGCGGAACAGAGTTCAGTCGGCATTAGGGAAAACATTTGATGATGTGCATTCTTTCCTTTATCAACTGAGAGATAAAGCCAGGCTTTAAAAGCTACACCAGGTGGAACTTCAGAAAGACTGACTCCAGCAAATTAGTCTACTTAAAGGGACTAAAATGAACCTTCCACATGCCTTTAAAGCATCAATTGATTAATAAAACATATTACTGGAATTATGAAGTAGTATGAATAATCATACAATTTGATTAATTACAGCAAATCACTAAGTTCAGGGGTCAAATTATACCGAGGCTAAACCGTTCATTCAAAACTACCTTGCACAAGGAGTAGTGTTGGAAGCAATCTTAATTTCTTAGATATAAATTGATTACTGTTGCAAAACAGTGCCTCAATATATAAGATTTTAGTGTTTAAAATAGAGTCCTATGCAGTTTCTACTCCAGGCACCAGCAGTGCTAGAGAAGCAATTTCCAAATGGCATCACCAAGTGGACTGTGCCACTTCACCATGGATTAGAAGGGCCATGGTTTTGTCACCTCCAACAGGGCACTGGAAGGGTCCTTGGGAAGCACAAAAGTACTGCTAATCATCATCTTTTCTGTTTAGCTGAGGCAAGTGCTCATGAAGCCTGAGTCAAATAGACAAAAATTCTAGTCTAGTGACAAATTTTCTTAATTCAGATCCCATCAATGCACCATTGTGCTAGTCAATTAGCAACAACGTGGAAACATGCATAGATCTGATACTTGTCTGTCACGAAGCGTTAATTTCACAGCATCAAGCCTCAGAAAATAGCAACATCATAACTCATGCTTCCTCCCACTCCTCTCTCTACCACAAATTGCCACTAAGTAGACAACAGACCACTGGTCATTTTGGCTCTGTTCCATGCAAACATCACAGTTAATACCACAATTCATCACTGCAAGGAAGCACGCCACATGTTAGACAGTGGCCCAGGACTACCAGAGTCTAAAATTGCTGACATAGTTCATACAGGATAAAATGCTGAATATGTCATTCTCAGTAACAACTTTTCAGTCACTTCTGGCCAAAGGTCGAGAATTCCTTCGCTCTATCATAGACATCTTTCAATTTTTTGTTAAAACATTAAAGCTGAACAGCTTGTAATATGCCAGAAGTCTTGTTGCTATCATGACTGGCAAGCCTTATTAATCAGCAAGATTGAACCCAACTCCTAGGTGAGAAGGACCAGCAGTGCCAAATAATAGTGATCAAGTACTCATCTTCTGAAGTATTCTCATCCTGGTTTGTATTTTGCAACTTTAAAACATCCTCTCATGGAGTCAATTAACTATAGTGAGGAAGATATGAAATGGTTTATCAGGTGGCATTATTTGTTTCCTCTAGAATATAATTTAACCAAAGTACTTGCAGCAATTGATTTAATACCAGGAAATCAGTTTCTCTCAAATAATTTATAATAAAATGTATAATTCTTGTAAATCATTTATTGAATTTTGTACAAAATATTTTGTCAGCCTTGATTTATAAAACAACTTTTCATGTAAACCATCTTCCCTAACTATACAGAGAATGAAAGTCATCCGGAACCACAGATAAAATTAGCTGCTGAGACATTTGAAAGTTCACTGATAGCTCAATTATAAGGTTTGTCAAGATCAAACAATTTTTGTTGGGAGGGGTGGCAGGGTTAATGAATTACAAAAACAACAGCATATTACTAAATATTTAACGAACCTCTATTCTAAGCTTGTCCACAGAATACAATGTAAACCAAAGTCAAAGGGCTGGGAGTAGAGATGCCCATTTTGTTTAGCTGTTGGATCCAACGACCACAAATACCAACAGCAGGAAGAGGTATGTAACCAAATAAAAATGGAAAAGCCCTGAAGTGTACTCAACGCCTCTGCATTAAAAAGGCAGCCATTTGTACTGCCTTGTCAGGTATCAAAAGTCATGATCATAAATTTTCACCGAACATTCCCTGCTTCACTGGATTGAACCTACCACCATCACCTCTAAATTCTTTAATAAATTCAGATCTTCCTGGTGCTAGTCAGGAGCAAACTGTAATCCTTAACTACCAAGCTGGCTCATTGTCTTCTATAAAATGGCTAAAAAATTCCTGTTGAGGACAATTGTAGCTTCTTTCAGGTTCTTCAGATCAGTCACAGAGTTCTAACTGGAAGGTCAATGACCAACTATGTATTTTACTTTGAAAAAAATTGTTTGCAGCAATAAACGAGGCCACACAATAGAAGCAGGACTTCTACATAAATAATATTTACGAAGCAGATACAAACAGCTCGAGAATTTAATTTCCCCAGAGCTTTTTACATACATTGCTTAATCAAATTCAAGCCTCTATCAGTCTAGCAGATGAAAAATGCATAAACTAGTATATATATATATATAAAAAGCACAGCTTAGAGCTCAAACCCACAAGGGTTTCCTCAACTAAATCTGTAAATGCTCTCTAACTTTACTTCTGTTTTTCAGGCCTCAACCCAAGTTCAATTTATCAAAATGGAAAAACAGCAAGGCAACATTTAAACACCTCTATCTTACAACATATTGTTCTGTTTGATCTCAGGCAAACTACGTTCAGATTTTTGGGTCCAGTGGCTCAGTTTAGGTAGTTAGTGAATAATAAATTCAAAGGTTCAATGATGCATTAAATAGTGTCTTGGGATGTACAAATGCAAGTTTTATTAAAAAGAAAACACAAAAGTTGAACTGCTATTAAGTCCAATTCTAACCTTTTTTGTTTGGTTGAAGCTAATCCAAAAGAAAAATGCTCTCCCTCGATAAAGCAGATAAATGTTACAAAGATGCTGACGTTTAGATGTGGAAGTGCAGTCTATACAACACACAACAAAATCATTGAAAAAAATACTTACAACCACTGCAGATGGAATCTCAATGCCCCATTATATCTTGGACACATTCCACAAACGTTTGTTTACTTTACAATCTGTGGTGAACTGCCACACTCTATGTTACATTCACATTGCTTGCAGCACGTGCAGTTCAAATCATTTCAATATGCTCCTGGTTGTTTGTCACCTTTTCAACATAGATGCACACAGGTAGAATCAGCAGCCATCAGGGCTACAGTCCTCCTTTAAAATCCATCTAAATAGTTGTTACTTTTGAAGCAAAAGGAAGGTGGTTTGCCAAAAATTATTACCATTCAACTTGAGGTACACTAAAGGATTCTGCATTTAGCATGGCAAAATTAACCAACACTACACTGATGTTTGTATCAGGAACAGAAATACAGAATTGATTCACACAAATTAAATTACAGATGTATATAGTACCCAAAAGGAACAATGAGAATCCAGAATACAAAGTAAAGCAACTGCAACAGAAAACCAATTAGGCTTATAGAAATTCATAAGGAAACTGTACAACTACATCTTCAAAGTCAAGCCAAATGAGTATGCAACTCATGTGCATCAGCTTTTTAGGTGATGAAAGGTAAGTGTTGCAACACAAAGTGCAGTTGTCATCAAGACAAGTTAAAATAATTAGCAATAGATCATAAAATGTTGGACAGGGTGGAAAATCACTGTGCATGTTCCACAATGGAACAGTATTTCAGCTTTCAGCAAAAAGGCAAACATCACTAATGTTTGTATGATCACCTAAGATGAGCAAGCTCTGCTAAATACAAGTCTAGGAATAACTTCCAACATAACTAATGAACAGAAAGGTTTCAACATATGAGCCATTTTGGAAGCAGAACCAAGATTACACTATTTTATATCTGGTTTTCCTTTCTACATTACCTTAAATATCCATCGAACATCACCTTAGTCAACATTTACCCATTCCACGTACAGTTCTAACTCCTTGAAGACACCACATCGTACAAGTGTATGGTTGTGCGTGGCACATGTCTAGCATCTTAGACAAGATCCATTTTATACATAACTTCATGTGCCAGTCTACAGTTAGATGGGAAGCTATTTGCCAATTTATGATGCTGACGCAATCCAACAGCCCACCAAAGGTTCACATGCACAGTTTTCCACAGTGAACCATCAGAGGCAGGAACCATCTTCCCAGCATAATGGCAGCAAGGCCAGTTGTAGTGATCCTCCTATTATCTGGTTAGGATCAATTAATTCAGGATAGACCAAGAAAGTGAACTCGGCATTCTTGTGATGGGGACGGTGGATACACCAATTAACAAACAGGGATACCAACGCATACAATTATGCAGAAATTTGAGGATGTATAAGGACAACCTTTCATTTCAATGTATTATTTATAGTTCATATGAAAATGTAAACTTAAAATGGTAGTTTTACAGTTTTTGATCCAAATGCCAAAAAGCAACACTTGGGAAGAGAAATCTCTCCATTTTCTACATTATATTTAAAGTGTCTCTGCCTTTGCCATCAATGACAAAAGGCCATCAGAAATATAACCGAGGGATCCAGCCCATGGTCAGTTGACAACATTCAAGTTAAATACAACTATTAACAGCAGCAGTAATTAAAGTGACCATTTACATTAAGTTTTCTTATGTCTCAATGCCCAATTATTTTCCGAAATTTGTGAGGTAGTGCAATATTCAATAGCACATTTAGACCCCATTTCATTAATTTTCTTTAAAGATATTAATATGTTAAATCACCAAAACTTGACCAGCTGAAATTTACTGTATAAAGAAACATTAAGCTCTTTAAGCTCCTTACTAATTATAATTGTAAATACTCATGGATTTGTTTTAAACCATGCAACACCATTATAGCACATAAAAGGTGTTGTGGTTTAAACCAAAGCAAATTATCTGTATAATGGGACTACAAATGATTGACTGTATACCGTATGGTCTCTAGAGAAAATGGGATGAAAACCAGTTAAACGTTTATTCTGAAACAAAATTGCAGGAAAAATTCTAGACACATTGATAGAATTACAGTAATAAAAAGAAGCAAAGCACAAAAAAATGACTAAAACAGGCCTGTGGCGCCTGAGGCAAATCAAATGTAACTGTTTCTTGGAGATCTCCACACAGCATGTAAAAAGGTTAGGTTGCAACCACTCAAGTTTCCCTACTCTTGAGTAACCGGTTTGCTTAGTGAAGACAGTGTGGGTCGTTTGGTGTTTGGAGGATGGTCCTCTTCATGTGGCCTTTTCCTACCAGTTGATGACTGTAAAGAAAGAAAACCTTTATTAATCAATACCATTTTACTCTTACTCCTTACTGTATCTTCCCAAATGTTTCAAGTAATTCATTGGTATTAAAGCACTCTGGGATTCCCTGACGTTGCTGAAAGCCTCTATTAAGTTAAAGGAACAAGGCAGTAAAAAGAACTCAAGTGTTGGGGCGTTGGGGAAAGGGTGTGGATTCAATATTTTTAACAACATCATATCAACCAAAAAACCTCAGTTTATACATTTATAGACAATATCTAAACTGGTGTGGCCACAGTCATGAACAGGAAGTCAAAATAATACGCACTAAATAAAAACAGAAAGAACTGCGGATGCTATAAATCAGAAACAAAAACAAAATTGCTGGAAAAGCTCAGCAGGTCTGGCAGCATCTGTGGAGAGAAATCAGTTAACGTTTCGGGTTCAGTGACCCTCAGAACTGCCAGACCTGCTGAGCTTTTCCAGCAATTTGTTTTTGTAAAACAATATGCACCTCAGTTTTGTTCCCATTTTCCATGCAAGCAACCAATTTATGCATTCATATGGACAACCTCAAAATATAGTAGCCAAAGCATGGACAAATAGAATGATTTCTGACACATTTGGATTAATGACAAAGTAGAGAGAGAATTTCTAATGCTAGTCTGTTCTTTTAATTTTCAGGCAGCATGAATTTATGTAGCACATAAATAGGACATGCTAAAAAACCTCAATAGGTTCTTCATATGAGCATACAAAATCAGAGAAATAGACCATTCAGCCCTTGAATCTGCTCAGTCATTCAAGATAATCATGGCTGATCTGCTTGTGCTTCAAATTCCACATTTCCATTTACCACCAGTAACCTCAGATATGTGAAACTAAAAAAAAAAATAGAAATTGTTGGAGAAACGCAGCAGGTCTGGCAGCATCCGTGAAGAGAAAGCAGAATTAATGCTTCAGGCCCAGTGACCCTTCTTGAGACCCATAGATATTTGTTAGGTAACAGGGTCAATTCACCTCCATGACGTGAACCTGCTTCCACTTTTGATTTCTCTCCACAGATGCTGCCAGACCTGCTGAGCTTTTCCAGCAATTTGTTTTTGTTTTTGATTTATAGCATCCGCAGTTCTTTGTTTTTCTCTCAAGCCTCAGGAAATAAATTCTCTTCTCTATTTTAAAATGACAATCTCCAATTTAATAAGTGCCCCTGGTTCTGGCCTGACTCCCAACATCCCTTCCACATCCACCTTATCAAGGCTATTCATGATCTTGAATACTTCAATCAAGCCTCACTTCACTCTTGTAAAGTACAATGGGAACAAGCCCAGCATGCCCAACCTATCACAATGAGACAACCCACTTATTCCAGGTATCAATCTAGTAAACACCCTCTGAACTTGTGTGCCTTAGTTGCCTTTAAGATGGTTGTAGTGAGCTGCCTTGTTTCCAACCTTCAGAAGTTAACACTATGACTAGATGTTGCTGTGTTGCTACTTATGAGCTTTAGGAGAATGATATAGGATCTTCTGTGGTACAAAGAGAAAAAGGCACAACTGTTTGATTTAAAAACAGATTGCACATGTCAGTTTAACAGTAAACTGAGCACCAGTGTGACATTCAGCAGTGTGCAGAGTAGAAGGATGGATTTTTTTTAAAAAATACACGATGATAATCTGGAAAGCACACTTGAAAGCAGACTAGATAATATATTCAATTATCTTTTGAAAGTTATGTACAAAAGGAGAAAAAAAAAGTAGGGCTTTAAGAACAGCAAATTAAATGAACATCTTTTAAAAAACACAATGGGTTGAACAGTCTCTTTTCAGGCTGTGAAATAGCAAGAGTAAGGAAAGCAAACAAGTGATGGATATTTCAGCACAAAGTGAATGAGGCCCATCACCCGTTTGAATATTTCACAAGTTCAGAAAGCAAAAAGAGTCCCTAAGAGAGGCAAGTCACAGATTTAGATCTGCAACAGGAGCCCAAATGTGTACCATAAATTTAACCCAACAACTTGTGCTACAGAAGCACGGCAGAAATTAGAGGAGATCCCACGGCCCAGGCATGTTGCATTATACGGAGTCCTTCAATACACTTAATGTACACTGTACTTTAATGTTACAATAAAACATATCTAACGAAACCAACTGTTAGCCCACAGCTGCAGAGCTTCAGAGAACCTTGGGAAACATCCACAAATTCAATCGATATCCTACTTTCAGAGTGGATCTCCATCTGCAATGTCTTGTCGGCTCCATTTCCCTGTTGGCTTACTGGGGAAAATGCTTTTTGTGCAGCTGATTTACAGCATTCTCCATTCAGTTCACATTTGTGCTTGCATTATTATATGGAATTTGGATGGTGGTAGTGCTGGACATTCAGGAGGTGCGGAAGAGAGAATCTCATTTCATATTTCTATCCATGTTTATTTTGTGTAAAACCAAAAACAATTAGCCTTAAATGTGTCATCTGGTCTACAATTTGAACACTGTTGCATATACATGCTTTTCACAAGAGGTGGCCAAACCTGAACGCTGCACTTCAAATCTGGTCTGACTTGTGTATTGAAAAAAAAAATTTCCATAGAAGACTATCTTTATTCCTGCAGGCAAAATTCCACGTGCAGCCTCTTATATTTCAAGCATCCATTGCATTAAGAATGAATAAAGTTGTGCTAACAGCAAAGGCTAGCACTGTTGAGAGTGGAATTACAACCGCAAGAGTTGGCTTTCCTTACCTGACCAGTTGTGCTCAGGGGCAACGTTAATTCAGTCTGGGCATACATCAGTTGTTTTGCCTTTTTCTTCATATCTTCATCCTTGTTTGAAATAGAATTCAGCATGATAAAAATTAATAGCTGGTTCAATTTGATAGAAACTGTGTAGAACTGTATTACATAACTAAGCAATCACAAGCTGGAGCTGCCTTTGATGAAGGGAAATTAAAATTAAAACAAGACTTAATGAGGATGCATTAGCCAAGGAAGATCCTGAAGCCATTCTAACCATAACAGGGACTTGATCCAGACCAGCCAATTGGGCCCCTGCCCCAAATTCAAGCTGCTGTGATAACTTTCACTTGCATGTTGTAACTTGAAACTATGGTTAGCATTGGTAGAGGCCCTAATATTCTTTTCATTATATGTCTCAGCAGAATCTCTCTTGCTGTCATTGACCACTATTTATGTAGGTGGGAAGGATTTACAGCATAGGAGGCAGCCATTCAACCCACATCCCTACTCCTCACCCAAATGCCAAAGATGTTGGCATGTATCCCAGAACACAGAGGGACGCCCAGTGGCGAGATAATATCCAAGGTTCTGACCAGTCTTTCAAAAGATTTTTGAATATGGATGTTACACTGAGGCATTGGAGAATTAGCAATGCAAATAAATAAACTGGGTTAGGTACAAACTAGACAGCCTTTCATTGGTAGTGGGTAATCATTTTGAGGAGATGAAACAGGACAAAATTACTACAAGTTATCAATAATTAGGCTCATCCAGTCATTCTGATAAAGAGAGAAAAGAAAGATCTTGAAGGTAATATCAAGCATTTTGATAAAATGAAATGCACAGAATCTTGTGTATGTATTGATTTTTAAAAGTACTGCCATATCAGGCGGACAAAATGTTAACAGGTTGGGGAGACAGCTGTCAAGTGAAATTTATATTCAAAAGGTGTGGTTCAATGCACCTTAGAAGCAGAAGTGAGTTCAACTGCGAGGGCAAATTGATAAATCGAGTCTTTAAAAAAAAATGGGATACTAGATTCTACACAACAGAAGCACAGAAAGGAAAGCAGTGACAAAATTAAACTGCTTTGAATTATTGATTAGAATCTGTTAGAACAGTGTCTAGTGTCAAAGTCTTACTTTAAATCCGAGTTTTTAACTATGATTGATGCAAAGAAAATTCAGCTCTTTCATGAAAGCAGGTAAATTAAAAAAAGGCAACTTGAAAATCATAAATATTGACTACAAATAAGACAATTTACCTAGCTATGTCTGGTATAAGCCAAAAAAGGTATAATTTTACAAGGGGAAAGGTGAGCAATTTTCTGTCTTAACTGACACAATAGTTGTTAGGATATGATCCAAAAGAAACAAACAAAACAGACACAGTCACGGGAACAGGATTTTAAAAATTGAAAACACAAAGTATTTGGAAAAGCACATATATCTAGATAAATGATATCGGGGAAGAGCAAGTAAAGGCTTATGGATAGATCTTGGAGAGCTGGCAGAGGCACAATGTATCAAGTAGCCTTGGGATGTAAAATTCCAGAATTTGAGAGAATAAAGTACAGACAATTAAGCCTTTCTGAAATGGCAAGGAAATTAAACAAATTTCTTTCCTAATATCTCCAATCCTTATTTGCATAACATGTAATTAGTCTGTTCAGTTAGTGTTTTGGTAAGCATTAAACATCCAAGCCTAGACAAGAAATAACAGTAGCATTAGTTCATATGACCGCTCAACCCTGATCCACCACTCAAGACTGTTGTTGATTTTCTACACCAATATTACTTTCTTGCATTATCCATGTATGCCCAATTTTCTTAGATTTTTAAATTCTATCGATCTGTCTCAAATATACTTTTTAACCAAACATCTGAACTTTCTAGGATTGGCAATTTTAAAGATTCATAACACTGAGGAAATTTCTCATTTCAATCTGAATGGCCAGACCCTTATTCTGAGACTATGACCCCTAAATCCAAACTCTGGTGAGTGGAAGCACCACCTCCTAGCATTTACTTAGCAATTACAATAATTAAAAGAGTTTTGTTTTTAAAATGGCATTACGGATTCACCTCGAAATGTCAGCATACTTAATGTAAACTGGCACTACAATGCAGTCTGACATGTTTAAATATCTGGTGCGTGACTTGAAGCCACTGTAATTTGTACGAGACAGTACTATTGATGAGGTTGGTTGGCTCGCCGAGCTGGTTTGTTGTTCCGCAGACGTTTCGTTACCATGCTGGGTAACATCATGGTAATGAAACGTCTGCGGAACAACAAACCAGCTCGGCGAGCCAAGCAACCTTAACACCCACAACCGGAGCTACAAATCTACTCCAAAACCTT